TTTTTCCGCTTGGGAAGCGCAAGTGTGCGCGAGTTTTTCTACGGCGCTTTTCTTTCGTCGGTGAGTTGGTTTTTCTTCTATTTTTAAGTTACTAAGGTGAATGGTGAGGAAACCTTCGTCTTAAATAAACATAAGCCCCAAACAAAATATAATGAAAGCAAAATAAAAGTAAAATAAAAATAAAGCTCAGACTTGGTTCCTTACATTTCGATTTGTGCATTTGTATAATATTCCAAAAAAAAAAAAAACAATCTTAATCATAATTTGAAGAATGATAACTTTGAACATTTAAATTTATTATTATTGATTATTATTAGTTGGCCCAATTAGAACAGAAACATTCTTGCTTGAAAGAAGAAAAACATCAATTATTTCTCCAGTTAAAGAAAGTACTTCATGAAGATGATAATAGAAGAAGAGCCATGGTAAAAGAAGCCAAGTATGTTGTGTGAGGAAATTTATTCGTTTTTCTACATTAAATTAAATTAAATTAAATTTATTTATAAAAAAAAATATTCAAATATTTATGTAAATAAAGAATATATAGTATTTTTCATTTTTGTAAAATTAAACTATATTAATTAATTAACGTAAAAATGAAGATTATTCTGTTTGCTTGTTTTAATTTTTATTACCATTACAGTCTTAACAATTTTAACTTTAAAAAAATATTTTAAAGTTAAAATTGTTAGCTAAATAATTTTTGAAAATGCTTGGTTTTTGCTGTACAATCTTTCTCAGTACATATGATGTAAAAATAACTAGATAATAATCTTACTGTTCTTACATAAAATAATGTATTAATATACAGAGTGTCTGAAAAGTTACCATGCAGAGAAAAAGGTTTAAGTAAAGTTTTAATAAAAGCAAAATTTTACATATGATATTGCAGTTTTTCCTGTAGAAAATGTTAGAAATGTCTGGCCTCTGTTCAGTCATCAACACCATTATTACTTGACCAATAAAGACCTGCACTCTCAACTGTGTTTGGACAAATGTAGGCATTCCAGAACATCTGTGAGCAAACAGTACTGCCACTTATCGCAAAGCGGGAATACGAGGCATACAACTTAAAAGTCTTGTATGCAACATCATACATATAACTTTAATGTTGTTACAAATTTTTCACTGCCTAGTAACTTTTTGGATATCCTTTATAAATAATAGTAAAAAAATAATCATAAAAACAAGAAATTTGCAGTGTTCAAAAAGTTGAATACATTTCAAATAGTTTTATTTATAAAAATTCATTGAATTAGTTGAATGTGATTTTATCTCATGAAACAGCATGAAAAAATTTTCAACTTTTTAATATACTTCAGGGCAATCACTTTCTTCCTTGAACAATTCTTTTATGGTATTCAAATATAAATATCTACTGAAACCCAATGCTTAGCAAATAGATACCCACGATTGCCATAAATAATTACTAAAAACTGTGATTCTACGTAACATGCTGAAAATGTGATTCTACGTAACATGGATAATGTAACCATTCAAGTTCCAATTAACCAATCAACCATTCAATGTAACCATTCAAATAGATTTGTTGTTTTGTTTTCTGTAACAGCATTGGATTTTTCAGAACTCCAAACATGGTTGTTATGACCATTTACACATCTACTAATATGAAACGTTATTCATCTGAAAAATCTGAAAACCATACAAAATAATCAATATTATTTTCCACTTTCTATAAGGACAGGAGTAGTAAATCCATAATGTATTTGGTAATCTTATATTGTATCTATTATATAAATTTCATTTTTTATATGTGAAATTTTACGAGTGCAACATATCATGCATCATAATTTGAGGATATTCGTGTTCTCTACTTTCTTTTCATACACATTTTCTTGGGTTTTAAACAAAAAGTCACTGTATAGTCATTGTGTTATGCAAATGACTGCCCAGGATTCTTTTGTGCTCCATGGTGCCTGTTGACTTGGACTGTTTCATTCATTGAAGTACAATGGATGAAATAGTTCTAAGAGAAAGATTGTTTCACTAATATTGATTTGAAGAGTCTTCAAAGAATAGTAATAGATTTTGATTCACATATATCAGTTTCTGAAGATTTTACAGCTGCTGTATAAAATAGCCATACTGTAATGAATACGGACGAATTTTAAATAATTTTATTAGCATAAGTTAATTATTGATACTCACAATAGAAATAAATTCTAATAGATGCTCCAAGAACATTTACATTTATTACAGAATTTAATTTTGACTTTGTAAAATTGTTGTTTATTCCTTTTAAGAGTATGCTGTTATATTTGAATATAATCATATTTTTAAAATAAAAATAATTTCTGTTGACAAATTACATAAATAATAAAATAATTGAATTTAAAAAATTTTTAATAACATATTTAGACTATATAGTTCAAATCTAGCTAACTGCGGATCAAATTAATATTTAAATATAGTTTCCATTGTATATTTCTTGATATTTATAATTTTTATTATAGTGATGTAATATCTGGTACCCATTCTTATCCTCCTCCTGGAATGCCTGTTGGTGGACCACCACCTATGTACATGATTGGTAAGTTATCAATATTTAAAAATTATTGAAATAAAATTCAACTGAATATATTTTTATGAAATCAGTGCAAAATAACAAAAATAATTAATTATTTAATATATTGTTAATTGAAATATTTTTTAGTGTAAATAATATTTATTGACAGTATATTACAAAATTAGAATTATGATACTTACTAATCTTTTTCTTAAATAATTTATTATTTACCACATAATTCTCTGATTTTTAAAAATATTTTGATCTTGAGATAGTTCCTTAAATATTAAAATAATAATTAGTTACAGGGAAAATTATGATATATATCAAACTTGGCCAAATCAAGGGGACCATGTCCCTGATAGTCTCCTTTTAAGCTGAATGAATTGTTATGTGAACAAGGATTTCAGTTTAATTAATTTTAATCTCTAATTTAATTTAACTTTTTGATTTATTTTTCAAAATTCATATATTTATTATTCACTGAGCTTACTGTACTTGAATGTTGGCACACTTTTTCAGGTTTTTGTATCCTCGAAAATAGAATGAATTTTAGATTTATTCGCATCTTAGATGTAATACGTCACAAACAGAGAAATATGTTACTAGAAGTCATTAATTTCATCATTGCATCATTTTAATTATTTTTTTAGACCAATATTTTTATTGGAAAATATTTAACTTAACTCAGTTTCATTAGTCTAGTAAAATAAATATTTTTGATGGAATGCCAGAAAAAGTTGTGTTGCACTCTTTCGAGAAGTGTATTTTCAATGCTTTAGACCGCACTGAGCATGACTGCGTGCGAGATGTGACCATCAAATCCAGTGTTGATTTAGAAGAACCTAATACAAAGTGAAGAAGTTTCTTTGATACCACTGAAGTGAGTTATATACTTACTTCACTTTACTGTACAATATTTATTGCACAAATTTATGTCAACAGGATCTGTTATAAATTTGTCTTGAGTTATCTATTTAAAAAAAAAGATGAGCATATAGAAATTAAGGTGTGTCTTACATTCAAGTAATACTGCATATGCAAATGTTTATGCTAGAGCTATACTGTCATAACACTATGATAATTAAGCTATCTTCTTTTGATGAAACTTGTGTAATTACGTATGCACTTTCAAAACTATATATATATATATATATTATATCATATCATTTACATAGACAACAGGCAAGAAATGAGCTGCTGATTCAAAATGGGTGTGGGAAGGGATGCTGTTTTGGAAATGTTGAAATAAAAGATAATAATTACAATTATCTTTTAGCAAAATAATATAAAGCACAATTTTTGTGGTGTTTTTATTCTTTTAGATAACTTAAGCATTTTGAAAAAGGAGGAAATTTGAAGTTATTTGAATGGAGAGAGAGAGTCTCTTGAAAGTTGTTTTAAATGAGAAAATATCCTGTACTTATATAAAATATATATATATCTGAATTCATAACTTGTGCTAACTTATTTTTCCAGGTAGTGCACCATTAATGAATCGGACCCCCGTTGTATATAAAGTTGGAGCACCACCTCAACAAAATTTATTGCCAACGGTAATAATTATATTTAAAAATTTTTTTAAGTGTATATAAATAAAATAAATTTATCTGTTGAATTTTTCAAATTATAGGTTTTAGATTTTAGATTTAATTACTAAATTAACCAAAATTAAATCTAATAATTTCATTGAATTTATAATTTGTAATATCTTAATCAGTGGTTCTTAACTTGGGGATGCAAATACCACCACTTGAGGTTAAAATTTTCTTTTTCTTTAATTGAATTTTATTTAATATTAGCAAAACTAATTACTTGAAATTTATAATTAATGTTATGTGCACATTCTACAGCAGTTGTTTCCAAACTTTTGTTGCCTAATGCTCCCTTGGTTTTTAATTGCATATTTAATTAAAATTTCAAATGTTATTTATAGAATGAAACTGATGAATTTAGTGATTCCAGCTTCAAAAGATTTGTAATCATTTAGATTTTAAATTTATCCACAATTCTTGCTAGCTACTAAACTGTTAACTTAAAAGATGGACTTGATACATTTTCAATGCCTTTCTTAATCATTAAGGAAGTTTTAAGATAGCAAGTTTAATTAATAATCTAGAGTAGATTTTTTTTCTATGAAGAGATGACTTCAGTAAAAATATATTCTATCCAGTATATTGCAAACTTCTAAAATTATACTTAAGTTTGATGAATATAATAATTTTTATTCTGGATGAGATAACTAATTGCAATAATTGTTGGTGATCAATCATAAATGAGCTAAGAGGTGCCCCTCAGACATTCATTATGGGGAAACACTATTCTATAACAACAATGGGAGTAGATAAAAGTAACAATAAATTATATGAATAACTAGGAATACAGAATACAAGGATATGTTGATATATTTATATATTGTTCCAAATTATTTCTAATTGTAATTAAATCTGTGAATTATATTAAATCATCAGTTAATATTATTTTATTTGGATTCAAGATGTTAAAACTGTTCTTTAAAATTATTAATTTATATAATTTAAAGTTTTTATGAATAAATTTATACATTAATTTTGTTCATCTGAAATGAAGGATAGAAAGATTTTTTATTACCTAGTTTAATTATATACTAATCAAAAAATTATTTAAGTTTTTCATGCAAAGTTTAATTGTAAATTCTGATTTAGGAGAAAGTGATTAATAGTAAATACAATTTAAAGAGAAAAAATATACCGTATTTACTCACATGTAAGACAAGGTTTTTATTCATTTATCACACCTTCAAATTCCTAGGTCATCCTATTCGTGCAAGCAAAAGATTCTTTGCATTTTTGCAAATAATTTTTGTGAACTGTCTATTTGCAATTTTTACCGGATGCTCACCCTCTGGTGTTTAAAAACAAAAGTATTTTATCTGGATCGTTTGAATCGTTCTTGTATATTGTCAGGAGTAAAGATGAATAGCAATAGGAAAAGCAAAGCTTTTGAATTGAATTCCAGATTGAAATTCCAAAATCAGTAGCGTAGTATAGTGGGGGCGGCAAAATTTCACAATAAATAATAATAATATCTTGTAAGAATTAGAACCATTTTATTTCATATTTTCGTGCACCTATGATTCAGACTGATAGAAATGAGCACGGAATACTATCCAGACAGTCCGGGAATCGACTCGCCGTTAGGAGATATTGTGCGCAATCTGTTGATCTTTTTTTTTTTATATATATATATATATATACACCTTCAATATCCAATAGAGCTAGGTCACTTGCGTTACTCCTATCCAAGTCTCCCTAGTCGCTAACTGTAACTGATTTAGAACCAGCATGCACTGCAAATTATTCTTCGCATTGCAAAATGACATACGCATGCGTCAGGAACTTCTGTTCGAACAAACCTCATCTGCCGTCCGGGTTGGCAATTTTAAAAAAGTGGCAACCTAGCACAGAATTTTTCATTACTTATTCTGTGACGAAACTGAATTTTAGTCTTTTAAATTGAGATACCTAAATAAGGGAGCGGCAAAATTTTCCTCCGTCCCGGGCGGCTGACACCCACGCTATGCCACTGTCCAAAATCACATGGGAGCATGATATAAATTTTAATCCATTCCTATGTAAAAACAGATGATTATTTGGAAATCAGAATTCGGAGAAACTCAAAGTGTAATCGACAGAGAGTAGATTCGACTGTTAAGAATTAGCAAAAAAAGGTTCCTGATTGTCCAGCTTTACATGAACAAATTATTTTGTCAATTTTACAAGAGTTTTCCTTAAAGTTTAAAATGCCAGTAATTTTTGTGGGACAATGTGTGCATTTACCTTCATTTGATATTTTACTTGTGATTAAACGAAATAAAATTAGAACTGTATTAATAAATCTAATTTTTCTTTATTTTGATCTTTAATTAAAGTCGCACCTAGTCCTATATGCGAGGTCATCTTATATTTGAGTAAATATGGTAAATTAAAGTATATTGTAAATTCTTTGATATTAAATTTTATGTATATAACATTACATATTACATTTACAATATATTACAGGGAGCAACAAAAAGGCCTCGTAGTCCATCTCCTCCACCACAGTCCAGTGCATATCAACCCGGTTTTAGTTATAAAACTCACGTTGCTGCATACGGACAAAGTAAATATAATACTGTTTGTTTTTAGGGAAAAATTTTTATTTATATAAGTTTAAAAAATTAGTTTTAAGCAAATACAAATAGAACCAATTTGTTTGCATTTATTACTATAGAAGCTCAATATTTTCAGTTTGGTGTTTGGAACCATTTTTCATATGTATGAAGCTAAAGTTTGCCCATTCTGGAAGGATTAACAAAAAATAATGAAACAACCTCTGTAAATATAGAGCTCCTATTATTGTATTTAAATATATTATAGATTTTTTTGTTCTTATATAATCTGAATGAAAATTGTTTTCAAAATGTACAAAATCTATAAAGTTTTCATGTCATTAAGATAGATAAATCAAAGAAATGGTTTAAGATTTGAGGTTTAGAAATTAATTAAATAGAGATTGTCTGTATACAGCATTCATTTTCTTCAGTGGCATAACAAATGAAAATTTATTAAATTTCGTGCGTTTTTTTAAACTCTTAAAAAAATTATTTTTGAATAAAATATCTAATAATAGATGGTGCCACACGCAATTTTAACGTTTTTCTTCGGGAAAGTTACGCATTTCGTTGATGGATTCTGTTATAAATTCTTCTAGATTTAGTAGTAAATTAATAAAATTTCATTTATTTAGAAGCTAAAATAGATGCGGAAAGTTACCAATTTAACAAATGTGGAGATAAATATGCAAAATATATTTATAAATGGACATATTTTTGAGTGTTTTATTCATAGGAGGCAAGAGAAAAATCTATTTTGGAGAGGATAGAAAGAGTCAAAGTGACGAAATCTATCTTCTTGAGTGTTCTAAACAATTGTTTATTTTCAGAATATTGCATTATTAAGCGCTTTAAAACGAAAAAATAAATAAAAATAAAATAAAAATTGTAGATTCATGATTCATTTTTGATATATAGTGGGATTGTAGTGACAATGCCCAAGGTTGCTAGCATGAACATGTGCAACTTAAAAAAATTTTTTTATGCCAGTAGTGATGTCATCGCCATAGTTACAACTTATTATTGTAGATGGTCCTCAAATATTATTATTGACTTTCNATTATATCTCTATATTTTTTAATGAATTTTTGTTTTAGAAAATATAGCCTTTTCAAATGTAGTATTATCACAAAATTAATAAATTAGTACAAATATTGTAGCCATCACCTGAGTATGAATTAATCAGTTGTAATCATTTCCCAACACTTTCATTATATTATATCATGGATATTTGAAAACCATTTAAATGAATTTATAATTTGATGGTTTTTATAGTACAAAAAATTATGAAGTCTGATTAGATGGCATTTATTTTAATTTGAAATAAGATTAACTGTTTTGCAACTGTGTAATTCAAAAACCAACAAAATGTCATTTTGTCAGTTTCTTGGTTTTTAATTTAAAACCATTTTAAATATTTTTCAAAATTAAAATGTTTTAGGTTAATGTTATAATTAAAGCCACAAGAGTAGTTATAAAATAATATATTTTAGAAGGTGGTCCATATCAGACCGGACAGACCTATTATTCTCACACCGCATCCGCCACGGGCTCAGGAACGTCTGCCACAGTCGCCACGACGGTTCAATATCCAGGATATTCGGCACCGCATCCTGCTCAGTATCCTCCGTTGCCACCCGATCAAGCTGCGGGTTCCAAAGCACACATACCCCCTCATGGTTATCCTCACATTACTCATTTACAACAACAAGGTATGGTTTAAACAATCTTTAATATAATATACAGTTATCCCTTGTACAACATGGTTTTGCTCTAACACAGTTTTGGAAATACTCTGTACAAAATTTCACAATTTTTAAGTGTAAACTTTGTTATTCAATATTTCTTTTATTCAAGTAAGCACGTGTATTATCTCAAATTTGCCTACAGATGTTTGAGTATTGAAATTTTCAAATTATTTTGTGCTTTTTGTCATATTTACTTTAATGAAAACTGATAGTTGATAGGAAAATTAGGACAAGGAAGAAAAAAGTTGCACTGAGTGTTGTTGTTGCTTTCACATTTTTAGCCTTTAAGACTGTCACTGTGTTTTCTTTTTATAGATTAAACATTTTTAAAATTTTAATAACAGTTATGTTATTAAAATTTATTTAATCTTTGTATTTACTAAACTTTTTTAAACTGTAAGTATTACTTACCTATGAATGATTACTTCATTTGTAAAAATGACAAACAAAATATGGCAGTATCTCTGTACTCGACTGAACAAACGTGACCCACTAGAACAACTTCTTGATTAACAATACTTTTTGATTTTTATTTTGTCATCCATAAAAAATTTTTTTTTTATAATAAAAATAAAGAAATGTGGAAATGTTGCTGATACTCTGGATTGCGATCTACAAAAAAGCCAAGATAATGATGATACTTTTTAAAAAGAAAATGCCCTCATTTAACTAAAATTAGTAGTAATGCATAATACAGTACTTTTAATTATGATTGGAAATAAATTATCGATTGCTTTAATAAACATATTTCTCTTAGCAAAAGTATACTATTCTTTTTTGTTACTTCTGGAATGTAACTCTGTGTTTTGCATAACATGGCACTATTTTGGAATTATCTACTGTGTTATATGAGGGATACCTGTGTGTTTTTTTAAAATAATTAGTTATATACTCGTATATAAATTTCATAATAGAATCATCTTGTATTTCGAAACTAATAAATATTACTTAAAAATTTTTAATATAGGTTATGTTGGTTCTTTGCATCAGCAGTTAGATCATGCAAATCAAAAATCTGGATTTTCTGAAGAGAAATATTATGTTCAGCAGGTATTTTATTTTACGTTATATTTAGAATTAATGAGAAAAATATACACAAGATGATGATATGTTATCCAAACACCATATCATCATCTTGTTCTAACCTTATTACAGAAAGGTTAAAGATAATCATCATTAACCTTTCTGTAATAATCCAAACACTATATTAATTATACACTATGTAATTATAATGTTCTTACACAGAAGACTGAAAAATTCTTTATCTGTCTTTGTATCTTGTAAGAACTCTCTATGCATTTGCAATGATTCATCACATCATATAAACAGTATTAATATTTTTAAAAATAAATTTTAAGATTTTCTAAAAGTCAGTATTATTTTGTTTTTCTCAATGATCTAATCCAATATAAGATAATGGTCTTCCTCAAAATTGTTGTTATTAAAACAAAAGTTCTTAAATATTTATGAGAATTTCAGAAGAGTAATTCTTTAACAAAATTTATTTTGCATCTTTGCAAATTTATGCAAATATTACATTTGATATATTTTAACCTATACAAAATTATCTAATTATGATTAAGTCACATTGAAGAGTATGTTTACCCTTGGCTTTGTATGGAATATATGGAAAAAATCTTTTGGTAGAAACAATTCAGTTCAAAATTCACTCCTCTATGATTTATATAAATGTTTGCAGATTTACATATGCCCTCACAAAAGGATTTTTTGGAATGTATTTAGTTTCCTCCATAATTTTGGAACATCAAAGGCCATAACTCATTTTCAAAGCAGATTTTTAATTTGGGAAACAGGAATCCAAACTGACTACTTCCTGTTTTGAAGACTGACACAAAATTGAATAATTTCTACCAAAACTTTCTTTTTATAAATTCAGTACATGCACCTTGTAAATGATTGTTTATAATGTGATTTGATGCTTGAATTACTTTTCAAAAAAAGCAAATGGAAAATATTAAATTATTTATTTGATTTAGCCTACTGTTATGTCGATGCGTTCTGGAGTACCGGTTGCAGCCGCTCAACCTCTGATATCGATTCAACAACCAAAAGTAAATTTAAAATTTTATTTTCATTTTGGTGTAGTTCCTTTTATTTTCTTTTATATAAATTACCAATTTTTCAGCCTGGAGGAATTACTTCCGGTTTCCCCATCCGGTCCCAACAGCCACCGACTTCTGCTCCTCATTATCAGCCTCCCACTTCTAATCCGTCAATTGGAAATCATTCTCAGGTATGTGAATTCATTTTCTTAAAAGTTTAATTTGAAATGAAAAATTACAATTTTGTAATCTAGACATATACTAATTAAACAAAAAAATTCAAGAATATTTTGATAATTTACATCTTATCTCACAATTCTAGAGTGCTTAAAATTTGCTCTTGTCTTTTAAAAGGCAAAAAATAATTTTAAAAATTGTTTTACACAATTAAATTATGATAAAGCAAATTTACAAATTTAAAAAATACAGTATTGCTTCTAATTTTTTTCTCCTGAAAGATCTGAAAACAATCATGATGTTATATTTTTAAATCACTATATTTGTATTGATTTTACATTCGAAATGAAAGTTATCAGAACATACTTTTACTGATTATAGGAAAAGTGCTTTAATGTTGCATGCTTTTGTATTGAACAGATAAGTATCTGGTATAAATATTAGGCTTAACTGCACATATCTGATAATGAGTCTTTGAAGAACAAAATTATATTGGGTTGACAAAAAAATTTCCAAAATTTTTAGTTTTATGGTACAACATTTATTTCAAAAATATTTACCATTACATTCAAATGCTTTCTTCCATCGATTAGGCAGATCACTTATTCCTCCAAAATAAAACTTAGTCTTTAGTAAAAATACGTAGAAAGATTACATAGAAAGACTAAAATGACATTTTAATTTTACTAATGTGTAAATCTGTCAGCCAATTAAAAAAAAAAAAAACTTAGGCTGTTTTGACTTGAATCCAGCAAGTGTGATTTTCATCTCATCATCGGCAAAGTGGAAGAGATGGTAGTTGGTGCAATGTCTGGGCTGTATGGGGTGAGGAAGAACTTCCCAGCCAAGATGAAGCAGCTTCTGCTAGGAATGAAAACTCTGATTTTGTAAACTGTTTTAATTGCAGGTAAGTGACAAACTATGGTGGACTGGTCACAACTGTCTTGCTCATTTCTTGTATGATTGGTGTGGGTTGGATTTCACTGCCACAGCTTTTGTCCACTGGAATAGAACCCCTTGCCTTTGGTTCAGTAAATTTAAAGAGGGGCAATACAAAGTAAATCCTAGATTGGCAAGAATTTTGTCTCCAAGTCTACAAACAATTGCACCATTTAGAGATATGATTATCAATTTGGTATAAAAACAGCAGAATCTTAAAGTGCACTTGTGTGAATTTGGTCACTAGCATGTCTTTTTACTTGTGCATCTCAAGAAACTTCTAGATGCCATCTGTCGGAGAACAATTTTGAATATTCTACATGTAGAAGTCTAGAAAATTCAAAAACTTTTAAATTAACTCAATAGTTTGCAACATAAGATATTCTCCAAGATGAAACTTCAAGAGAGTGTGAACAGTTTTTGAAAAAAAAGTTGAAATAAAAAACAGGGTCAGTTTGCAGGAGAATGTACTCATTGATAAAAAAAAAAAAAAAACTGTATCTGTAGTCCTGCACACCTTATCATAAAGATAATAATTTACTGTTACTGAGTTGAGCATGATGATAATTAAATTTGTGCATAATGGCCTGTTGGCTAACTCCTTTCTGTAGTTTTTTAACAATTCCACAGTCTACATTATAAAAGAAAATAGAGTGGCTGTTTTCATTCACTGCGAATAGTGAAGAACCTACAAAACAAAAGCATGCAACAGGATTTAAACAGAACAGACTGAATTACTGTATTATTGGGTGCAAATACTTTGAGCCTTTGCATGCCTGTTGGAAAATCTAAAAAGCTGAATTTTTAAAAATCTTAAACCTTGCTGGTACCTTGTGGTGTTCATCAGAGTGCTTGAATTATAGCAGAAATTTTTGAAACAAAAACATGAAAAAGTATTCTTAGAGGTCAGAGTTTGAAAAGAAAATTATTCTGCAAACAGCAGAACCGTTCTTTTGCTCAATTATTGCGAAGCAGCACCCACCAGCGTGTGAACTTGTTAATGGAAACATTTGCAGAGATTATATGGTAAATATATGTCCAATATCTGGCTCAGGGAATCATTAGGACAATCTACAGAAGAACTTTGAAATTAAACAAGGACAACAGAATATCGTGAATATACTGTCAGCCTTTTTTAAATTGAAATTTATGTATATATTTTAAATTTTGGCTTATCATCAGTGAACTTTTTAACTGTTTACAAGATTTGGCAGAGGTATTGCCTCTAATAAAAGATCCTCTGCGAAGGAAGATTGTTTTTGGACATGATGGAAATGAAGATAAAAAATATACAAGAAAGTAAGTTAATATTCAACAGCACTTGTTTGTAATCTGATAGAACATGACAAATGCAGTACTTTGTCATTGCATTAGCTTGGAACATCATTGCTGATTCTACTGTACAAAAATCACAGAGGAAAATTTGTCCATCAAAGATCCCCTTGCTTGTTACTGGAGAAAGTGGTAGCATAAAAATGATTCATGAAACAATCCAGTTGCGAGACATTGATAAAAATGGATTCGATTGATGAAATAATGACTGAGTGTTATCATTTTCTTGTTCCTGTGAATTCATGATGTTGATGGAATCAAGCAATGGAACATTTCACAAAATTAGGATGTGTTGCATTGGGTATTTCTCTTGTGCAAATCTGTCAGTTTGTTGAATTTGCAATCATGTCAAACAATTTTTATGCAAAAAAAAAAAAAAAAAAAATAGTACTACTAGCAAGCAGATGGCACAAGCTTTTGGAGATAAAAGAGGAACTTTGATTTACTGCATATTTTGTGTTTGGTATTATTTATCGTAAAAACTCTGGTCTGGCAATCTGGCACCACTTCTGTCCCGTGCATGCTGTATTAGAGGATGACTTTCACTATATGTGAGTTCAGACTGTATTGAAAACAGTGAGGCAAGAACAAAATGCGATTGAATATAGTATAGTTTTGCATTTGTTGAGATATTCTGATAATTTGCTTTGAACAGGATTAATAATAAGCAATATAACATGTATATAAATCAAATCTTGGTATGATTAATAAGCTGATATGAACTAAGGTTTTATGTTTAAATCTCTCCATCCAATGAACAATATTCTCTACTATGATAAAAATGTATTGCTGAAGAGTAAATCTCTTCAGCAATAATTTTGTAAAATACCATTGTAGAGAAAGGAAAATACAGTGTAATAATGCAATCAGCAGTGCCTAATTATAATTTTAGCTTTGTTTAGCTGAATTGTAATCAAAATATTTTTCACAAAAGTTAGCACTAAACAATGAAGGAAACCAGTTTCGTGTATTAATTTTCTCTAGAGCAGTTTAGATTCAAACCTAAGAAAAGCACTATCACTTTCTTATTTCTTAAAAAGAAACTGGAATAATAACTTAAGTCATTATTTATAAACCTAAAATCCCTCTAGGTAAAAGTGGTTATACTAAAATAAGAGGTTTTGTTACAGTTTGCATCACTAATTTTTAAGACATATTTGTGGAAACTAAGAAAGTATACAGGGATGTCCTAGTATTATAATTTCTTCAGGAAAATTAGTTTGTTTTGCTTAATTCATTAGATTGAAGGAATGTAACACTTAGATGTGCCTCCCAGCAGATATTTCTATGGAAAATTGGCCCGTTTAGGTGTTATACAAGGAAAGAAAACCCAGTTCATTTTGGATTCTGATGATTAACATACACTGTAGAAAAAACTTATGAGGGATATCCAAGGACTGCCAACGAGGAGCTAAAATTGTGCAAACTATTCTTAAGGATTATAGTGTGGAGGAACGAAAAAATGAATAAGGGAAAAGGTTCATTCAATATGCTTAATGTAGAAAGTGCACAATACATTCTTGAGTTGAGCAATTCTCATTTGCAACATAAAAGGTAACTTTGACAATGTGATCAAATATGTCACATTTGTCCAGGCAAAGCAAATCATATCTTCAAAGATGGGAGCTCCAACTCAATGCACGAAGATTTACATGATTACCTGTAGTTGCACAACCGATTTCTAAATTACCCAGAATGACTCATTTGACAATTTAAAAAATCCTTCCACTGATGGAAGAAATGGACATTGAGAGGTTGAAGAAACAATGCAGAGCTTTTGGGTATAATTCATATATCTATTCTTTTTCATTGTTCAAAAACAAATTGGCTGCTTATAGCAAGAAAATGAATCAACGATAAGGTATGCTTTGTCCCCGACTGCTGGTTTAAAAAAAATTGGTTGGTCCGCTGCTTGAGAATATTTTTGTCTACTTTTCCTTACTTGCAGTAGATAGGGTAAAGTTTCTTGAATGCATGGATGAAAATCTCCACTAGCTTCTTGTAGAACAATCATTAGCTAAAGCAGTAACACTCCAGCCATTGATATCATTGACCTAATTGTGTACGAGTGCATCGGCAATGACGAAGATCTAGCAATAGCGAAGATCTAGCAATAGCTTCTTGTTGTCTTTCCACCCTAGATTGATGTCCTATTACCTTGCATCTCGTATTGGTATCCTGACTACAAATATGTTGTTAATGCCCCACTTTCAGCCATCAGAGATTTCTTCACAGAATGAATGCAGAAAGATAATTCTATAACTCCTGAATTTTTTCATTTTTCTGGAGGTTATCATCAATTATAATCAGATTTAAATTTTAGAAAATATTGTGATGTATAGAGATTTTGTACAATCAAGCTTGTATCTGTTTCGTCAAACTTAATCAAAATTTGTATACATACAGAAATCAAAAACTCATGGTCTGAATAGTAAGAGCTTTTACTTCAGATTTTTTCTACCAGGAGGAAAATGGAGCCATGCTTGGGCAATATCTAAGAACTAGATATGCTGTATTCAACCATGTAGAAAATCATGCACAAAGTGTTAGTATTTCACCTACAACTGCTTCCAGAGGATCATTTTCCCTAGTTCAGATGATACATGGTCTTGGAGCAACAAAGTGCATTTTTATGAGAAAAAATTGTTAGAGAAAGCTTTTCTCATCTGTGTTCTGAGGTGGTTATGATACACTGATTTTCTTATAGATCACTTGTCTTAGGATCTTTATCAAACCTGCATTGAGTTTTTCCAAAGTGTCAAAACAGCAGAAAACGGGCATCTTTTTGTTAGTGACAGAAGCAACAAATATTCCATGCTCTAATGGATTTATTTGCCTGAAACTGTGCTGACTATTCTCACATTATTTTATACTAGTACAACATGTACAATTTTTCCTCCATTCACGTCGGGCTGTTCTTTGATATTATAAGTAGAGTTATTTCAATGTTAAATGAAGAAGGGAATACTTTCTTATTTCTATACAGTCAAATCTCTCTATAACTCATTTACCGTATTGAATTTCAATAAATTAATGGTAATTTAAAGTTACTAATATAATTATATTCAGATATCTTTATAATTTTATCTAACAAATTTCAGAATACTTACGGATCTCAACAAAATTTGTCAAGACACGGATATTCTGGGCAGCCCACTACCCGATACTACTGAGATTAGATCTCGCTGGTAGGGACATAATGTCAGAACTCTGAAAGATCTGTACATAATTTACATATATATTTTTTGCATTTGGAATTTAATTCTTTGATTTACAGACAAGATCTTATGTTTTAAAGGTTGTAAAGTTTAAACGAGGCACACGAAAATAAACACATCGTTAAAACGAATGAATATTTGGATTCATTTTGTTGACTTTACATATTCTTTATTTTGACAAACATACAAAAGCACATTATCTTAATTTATTAAAAATGTATAAATAGTTCTCTCAATATAATAAAATATATAATTATATAAGAACATTACATTTGCTCTCTGGGATAAAATTACAAAAACAATTAACAATATTTGATAATCTCTCGTTTGAAATGAGTAGAAACTGCAACCACTTGGCATTTGATCAAATGCCGCTTTCTCACAAATCTTAATTTTTTTGTTCTTTTTGCATAGAAGAATTATATATCCTTAACATTTAAAAACCTCGATGTTATCATTACAAACCTTTGGCATGTGATATTTTTCATTTTTGCAATTCAGTTTAGGTGGTGAGGTTACGACTTAGTCTATAAGTAAGACAAAACCTTTCACACTTTGTTTCTAGCAGTTTAATCAGTTAAGTACAAATGTTCTTGGCCATTTTAAATGGCCTTCTTCAGGTACAGTAAAGGTTGGTTGAAACATCAGTTAGCAGATATTCAACTGACGTCATTGCTGATGTCAATGTCGATATCAGCAACGACAACAGTTGAATATCTGGTAACCAACGTTCCACCCGAGAACGTTTGTACTTAGTAATTAAATTGCTAGAAACAAAAGCTTTCACGCTTTGAATGCATAGAAGTACAACTTAGTCCTCATGGATTTTGATAAAAGGTCATTCATACAAAGGAAGAAAGTGTGCTTGTCAAAATTAAAAATTCGAGTAATTTATGAACAAGTTTTACACAACCTTTCATCAAATGCATGCATCTTGATGAGTGGACTTTTTTAATAGAGAATAAACACACAAAATGTAATAAGTTGCTGTCATGTGGAAGTTTTACAGAACTTTTTCAAAATAAATTAAGCCACTCTGTGATTTTTTAAACTCGATTTGTACCAAGGCTTAGCCCCACATGATAGCAAAATGCCCGAGAGGCATGTCGTAACCTCCCCTGCTAGAGTGACCAACATTTCTAAAGCTCTTTCCACCCCGCAGACCTGTGATCAGATGATGCCTTATTTAAACTGATTGCATATTCTACTTCATCGTATTGATTATTCACAAAAGAACATCAATTAAAATCTTTTTGTAGACAAAAATGAAAAGTTTTCTTTCTCAAACTTGTCATTTACAGGAATTCCGGTTCGAATTAAAACAATGTATTGTGGCAATAGATTGCCAGAATATATAAATAATGTTTATTTTCCCAAACTTTTTAACCCTTTAACACACTTCCTATTCACACAACTTGCTTTCCTTGAAAGACGCAACAATTAAATCTTCCTTATACAGAAAGTGAAAAGTTATAATTAATTACGGCATACAGGACACACTGCTTTTGACACCAATTTTTTTTTTACTATATTCTGGTTAAAACAAAATTAAATTTGTACTTTTCTTTAATCATGGAAAAACAGGAGTTTAAAAGAAGTCATTTACCATTAAAATGCACATTTAATTTTTGTTACATTCAAAAACTGCCTAGTTCTGTCTTTTAATTCAAGAGTTGGGTAAGTAGTAATCATCAATAGCCTATTTGGGAAATCTGTTAGCTTACAGGAAATTGCAATATCACACAAGATGCAAGGCAATTGTGTCTTATATGCCGTAAAAACACATTAATTTGTTTTAAACAAAAGTCTGCATCATATTCACCTTAAATTTAGCACTGGAAAGACGAATGGTCGAGTAATAGTTTCCCAGAAGATTCCGTGATGAAGATGTCGGAGTCCATCTCCATCTCTGAAATCTCGTAAGATGAAGATTTCGCATCCGAAATGATGTCAGTTGGACTGCAAACTCCGGGTCTTCTCCTGGCCAATCGGATCACTGCCACCGCTACATAGCTCCCGACGATCATGGCCAGAGACATCACGTAAATTACGAGTCCTCCGTCTATGCCGTATTTATAGGCAACAAAAAATAGTGGGAAGAGACAGAAAATGCAGACCAGTAGAGTGCATAGCACGACTCTGAATACGTTTCTCGGAGTTATCATTTCGAAGTCTATGATGCTGGCATTTTCATTTCTTCAGATTACGGCAACGGTCAAGACTGTAAATCAATAAATATTAGTTAATACTCCAATTTTGTATGCAATAAGAGGATGTGATCAACCAATTGAGTTATAACTATCTCCCTATTAGCCTGCAATGTTTTATGATAGTTGCTTTTACCTGCAAATTTCCAAATACACATTTAAAGTTTAGTATCAAACTAATTTAAATGTCGTGTATTCGGAAATTTACAGGTAAAAGCAGTTGCCATAGTTATATGATAACACTAATAGGGGATAGTTAAGTTAGTTGAAATCCAATTGGTCAGTCATATTTGAAAATATTCCATTATCATATAAATGTTGCTAATACATTAGAGCTCCACATCATCAGTGGGAAGTAAACAATTCATTTGAGATCAAGTACATTCTCTCTCTTTTAATTTTTTATAAATTAACAGTATAAAGTGATTTGTGTGAAGAATAAAAATGTGTATTATTGTAGTTAAATGATAAAATGTAACAAACAGTTGTACAGTACATATTACCTATATAATACAGCTGACCCCCTATACCACTGTTGATTTTTCCATTTTATATGAATTCCATGTTGTACGAGTCACTTAGATTTTACAAATACATGTGCCGGGCTGTGAATGGCTCACATATTTGTAAAATCTAAGTGACTCGTACAACATGGAATTCATATAAAACGGAAAAATCAACAGTGGTATAGGGGGTCAACTGTATATAAGAACAATAATTTTAACATTACATAAGTTTGTTTTATATTGTATTGCTTTATAGACTAATTTATTTAAACAAACATTTTCGTCGTCTTTTCACAAGTCTTGTAGAAAAAGTATTTAATGTGTCGTTTAAGCTAATTTTTAATCTGACGTAGCACCTATCTTCATTACCCCAGCTAATTGGGGTTCTATCGTATTACAAAACGTCACATTGATAAACGGAAAAAGATCTAGCTAGCTTTTTTATTATCCGTGTAAACAATGTATTGATTTGAATTTTAAAATATTCTTAAAGACTTAGTTAATTTTGTACTGTTAATTTTTACAAAAGTTTGATTATTTCATTTTCAGAATCCAGATGTTTATTAAGTTTAGAGATCGATGGAGTATTTAAAGCCTAGAGTTGATAGTCGTGCAGGAGATGAATTTTCACTAACAATTTAGACAAATAACAAATAATAATGTAATTTGTGACTGTACTAGATTGATAAGACACATAACTTATGAAATTCGATTTGCAGAGATAAACAAAAATTACAGTAACAAAAAATTTGGTCAACATCAAATGAATCACTTAAGGGAGAAAATGGGATTTTATCTTAATGATCACTACGTATTAAAAATTTTTTTTATCATAATTTCATTTGGCAAAAATAAATAAATGACTTACTGATCATAGTTTATCAATTATTTGGTAATGCTAATTTTTTTTACATGAAAATGATTAATTGCTCATTTTTGCACAAATTTAACAAGAAAATGAAGTAATGTTTGTAATTGAAAATAACATTTATCCAAACCAATTTACACATTCCACAATTTGCAAAGCTTTTGTTGTTATGTTGCACAGAAAAGACTTTTGTCAAGATCTTGCTCATTAGAAATCTTTCCTTGCTATTTTTTGTACTTGAAGGATATTAGAAGTAAAATGCGAAAATAAGAAAATTTAATTCAAACCCTAATTTTGGCAGATATTGAACATCAATTTTGACAGCTCTAAAAAAAAAAAAAAATTGTTTTTACTGTTAGATGATTTAAAAATTAATAGTTTCCTTTAAATTCACGGAATCTCAATATTTTATTGTTCAAAGAAATCTCTTTGAGAAGCTAAGAACATTTGCACTCACCACTTAAAGTCAAATAATCTTAATCATTTATATTTGTTGCTATTTTTGTCACACTACACTAAATGTCCAGCAGTGTCAAATTGGTAACAAAAAGAAATCAAGAGAGTAAGTAGAACAATTAATCTCCCATAATTCCACATTCTTATATCAATGACTTAATTCTTATATCTTCATTCTACAATTACAAATACAGTAGTTTAATTGTCAAACTTCAGTTTTTTAAAAAATAAAATCTCAAAAATTTTAATGCTTTAAACTGATTAATTTGTTATTTGGTTAATGACAAATTATTTGCAAATGATTACTTGTTTAATTACTTAAATGATTTTAAAAAAATGTTCAAAACCCAAACTGATAGAAAAATTTCATTTAAAAAATAATTGCTTTGTGGTAAGCCTCTCAAAATTGCTTCCTGCTTTCTCCGTGTATTATACCAAAAATATCCGATTTTGTTAATTGTCACCACATACAAGCAAAGTTAAAATAAAACAAAAAAACCTTATTGAAATCATTTTATGTTGCACAAAAAATACAGCAAACATTAAATTGTATTCTATAATTAATTAATTTATTTCACACACAAAAGGATATGTCTCGAGACAATTGATATCCTCTCCCAAAAATAACACCCATAAGAAAGAAAAAAGATCAATAGAGATTATAAAAATGTATGCTTATGTAATACTTTATAATAAATAAGCTATAACAAAAACTGTTTACAAATGCATTTAAAATGTAAAGTCTTCATGTATAGATTGTTTCACGAAGACCATATTCAGAATAGATCAATAGAAAAAGGATCTGGAAGAAATGGAAAGCCAAAAAGTGGAATTGGAACGAAGCAAACCAAAGAAATATTTATATAAAAGTAAACGGTTGAAGTATTTCATACGATTGGTAAAGCTGGAAACTCCCAACTGGACCTAACTATATTGGCATTAGGGGTAAAAGAAAGGTTGGAGAGTTTAAGAAAAATTTTATCTAATTCTTTTATTTTATTTTAAATAACATTTTTTCTAAATGGGTTGAGGCAACTATAGCCCATATTGGCAGACAATACTGTCAAAATAAACCGATCTGAAGACTTTGAGGAAATAACTTTACAAAAATGTCAAAGAATTCCATGACAAACTGTTTATGTATGTACTAATGTACTGTTTATTACTGATTAAATATTTTTATTCTCTCTCTTCAGAAAAAAAAAATAATAATAATAATAATAGAACCCCTAAATTAGGTATAAGAGAGAAAACCCATAAACAAACAAAATCTACCAATGGATGGTATGCTTCTAAGTTCTCAGTACTTTAATTTCTCCATATTATAAATATAATACATAATTCGAAATACAGCATGAATAATGCTGATGAAGTAATTAGTAAATTATACAGATTAAAAAAAGGAACCCACTGATAAATTAATGAGTTTGGATACAATAAACATGTATGTATCCAAACATACATTGGACTCTAATAGAAAATAATTTAAAACACTTAGAACTAGTTTATTGAATTAATCAAATAATGAATATTACAAGCAGCAGGATGAATTAGTATGGGTTCAAAAATGGGTCCAAAGCTTGCAAAAATTGGAATGAATGAAAGAGTCGTTAAATTAAATAATATTGATGGAATTAAATTACATGTCTGCTATGCAGATGATTATTTGATTGTTTTTAACACACAAAAGATTAATGAAAAAATTTTAGATATACCATCTAAAATTTATAGTAATAAAAAAAAAAAAAAAAAAAAAAAAAAAAAAAAAAAAAAAAAAAAAAAAAAAAAAAAAAAAAAAAAAAAAAAAAAAAAAAAAAAAAAAAAAAAAAAAAAAAAAAAAAAAAAAAAAAAANTGAATAAATATAAATAAATCGGTAATAGTATATATAATTATATGAAAATTCAACGATCGCAGCCTAAATCTTTTCGTCATTTCCGCTATAAAATTTCATAATTTTTAAGTTTAAAACGAAATAATTTTATTAAAAATCGATAAAAAATAATAAAAATATTCCTTATTAAGTTTAATTATATTATATAAAATAATGTAAATTTATGTTGTGTTTATCAACTTTTAAAAATTAGACATCGGTAGTTATTCAAGCAGTAACTTACATATCAAATAACTTTATGATAACGTTACCTTTATCATTAATTATTATCTAATAATTCAAGAGTACAGTAGACAGTATCAATATTCCTCTACAATATTAATCCAGATAATTATATGGTATCACGTCGCTCAGTTCCATTAACATTTCACACTTTATAATCTTCTAAATAATATATATCTCTAAACAGTAACTCATCTTTAATTTATTAAATCCAATATTCAATTCTATCCATCATGCGTCAAAATGTTTTAAATGCTCTTAACCCTTTTATTAATGATAAGGTGTTATCATGGATAAAGTCAATAATCATGAATCCATCGTTGTGAATAACAAAAGATAATTACGTACAGTACAGTACGTGTACATCTTTCGAATAATAATAAACTATTTAAAACATCCTCCAATATATATATATATATATATTTTAAGATTTAAAATGTATGTGATGAAAGTATTTTCCCGGAAGCCATCAGCAGATACGTATAGAAAAATCTAAAAAATATATATATATATATTTGAGATTTCTTTTTATGTTTGTTTGAAGAGTAAAAAAACAGAAAACATTGGCATTTGTATAGATATATTTCTGTCTACTTTTCCTTTCAAGAATGAAATATCGTTTATCCTAAACGTATTTGGACGAGCGATTTTTCCTTTCTAAGACGAAACAATTCCGTAGAAAAGTAAAAGCTTTAAACATAAAAAAAAAAGATATTTGATCATTATTATTGTATGTATAGTGTATAAAATTTTATCCGTATAAAAGTTTAAAGTTTCGGATCCATTTCTTTATGTAAAATTGTATAAGTATACTAAACGTATTTGGACGAGCGATTTTTCCTTTCTAAGACGAAACAATTCCGTAGAAAAGTAAAAGATTAAAAAAAAAAAAAAAAAGATATTTGATCAGTTTTAACTGGAGTTCTTGAGTGACTAGATAGACCTCACAGGCATGTCGGCTTATAGAGGATATTACATATTAATATTGCGGTTCCCTATAAAGAAGTTTATCGTCTCTATATTGTTAGATGACATTACTGTAACTGTCATTGCCACTTCTACAAAACAGT